ACGAGGGCACTCGAGCCAGTGATACGTAGTGGTGCTGATTAGATCTGGAGGATCTGGACACTGTGGATGAGAATGTCTTTTGGTCAGCGAGGCACTTTGAAGAAAGGCGAAATATTTCAATTTATTTAATTATTAATATTATTTTTTGCCTACAGTAAAGTGTACATCACTTTCCTTAAGCCCTTCGAGTCGACGTTTCTACTTCAAATGAAAAGACAACTATAAGTAGGAACCAATTTCCTCTTTGCTTTCATAACAACTTTCAATTGGCCCTTGAGATTGAAACCTCATCTTCTATAACTATACCATGAAGTGATATTTACATAGATTTTCTAAAAGTGCAGTTGCTATTAATCTCAATTTTTATTAATAATGCCACCGAGAACTGGCACAGGGTGGTTGCTAATGTGATAATTTTATTTGTTGGAAAATATAAATAGGGGATACACATTTGAACTGACTTACCATTCTCAGATAATTTTAGTTTTTCATTGGCGATATCAGATCGGCTAGAGTAGCCTACCAGAATGATTCCAAGCTCTGATGCACCGATCCTCTCTGCTTCACCAGCCTGTTCTTCCCATTTTCTAGCATCCAGCTTTCCTTGCCTTTTACTTTCCAGTGCACACATCTGGCTCTCGGATTTGATGTTGGCAATATTTTCTCTTGGGTTTTGTTTTTTCAATAGGTTACTTGCAACACTTTGAGTAATATCGGCTTTTTTATCCAGAACAACCTCAAATTGGATAAAACTGGAATGTGCCATTTCTGTTAATTTATTCTTTTCTGTTTCCTTTTTACGATGTATTCCTTATTGAGGAAATAAAGTAAGACAACAAATAAGCACTATTATCAATTTTTAACACATGTCGTAGAATCTTTTTAAATTCATCTTAAACCTTTTTATTCCCTTAAAATGTCCCATCAAGTCAGTGGTAAATTTCTAACCATTACTTGCCCTAAGGATAAACTGACATATCTATATTTTACGGCTCTACTCTGTAATCAACGAATTTATGCGTTGCTCAAGCAGGCTTCTATGGTTCAGTAGACATATACTCTGTATTTCATGAGGAATGCTTCAATGCAGCATAGTAAAGTGTCCTTAACAATGCATTATCATAACTAGAATATGGGGTAAAAGATATATAAAATACTATAATTAAAATGGCAGATTTACCTCTGAAATTTACACAACATACTCTTTGATCGACTA